ACCCACCTGATATGTACATGAGGAATTGGTGCATAGCAGCCCATAACATGTTATGGGCTGCTATGATAGAGCCGTCCCGGATCCACGGTGTTATGGCCCGAGAGGCCACACCGAACTGCTCGCCGCTGGAATTTTCGCTTCGCGCGCTGCCGCGCGCGAGGTTCGGCATCGACCGCCAAATATTTTCTCTTTTGCCCTTAAGTTAAATTCAATAACATCAACCTGCCTCCTGACTGAGGCTGAGCGATGGCTTCAGATTTCTCAATCAAGACCCCCCACCCCCTCCCCCCCCCTTCACGCAATTTGCTTCCCGTTTCTAACTCGTACTCTCTGCAGCTGCTGCCGCTCCCCTCCGTTTTAACATGTACCTTAAGGTCTGTCTTTCCCGCAATTTAACTCACGTCCTTTTTCTCTGAGCCCTGGCCTCGATCGACACCCTCGACACCGGGCCTCGACACCTCGACACCAGGGCTCAGCTTTTTCTTTCCTTTTTTCGTTCTCGAGGTTTCAAGTGCGCTTTTTAGTAGTTAAAGCTCCGTGCCAGTCGTGCGAGCGAGTAAGTTGTAAAACTCTTCCTCATCCGGATGACTCATCGATCGATCGATGGATGTTGCTGCTTTCCGCGTTGCTGATGCCCTGCACTCCTTTCCGGATCGGGCCGACCCGTATCGAACGTGAGCTGGCAGAGTTAGAGCAGGCTGCTGAGCAGGCCGGGCTCGACGGTGTGAGGTTGCCATTCGAGCTGGACCTGGTCCCGGCGATGTTTCAGCATCTCCTCTCGACCGGCGCGCTCAACCGGCGACATGTTCTCTATCAATCGGTCGATCGCTTTTGTGCAGAGGCGCTCGGGCTCGAATCAGAGCTAACGAGAGCTGACCCGTCGCGGTACGACACGCTCCTCGAATTCGGAAAGACTCTGGTCTCAAGATTTGGCCGCGGCGCCAACGCGTTGCTGCACGGTGGATGAGGACGAGCCGGTTGTCCGGGCGAGTGTCGCCCTCGCCCTGCGACGCGAGGACGTACGGCATCTTTTTGGTGTTGGCATGCAGCTTGTCGAGCATGGTCTGCGCGGCGGCGACCTGCTGCATGCGCAGCTTGCCTTGCTCCTCCTCGTCCTCCTCCATGTCCTCGTCTCCGGGCGCCGCGTCCGTCGCCGCCTTGGCCTTCTTCTTCTTCTTCTTCTTCTTCTCGGCCGGTGCCTCGCGGTCGCGCTTCTCCTTTGAGCCTGTGCCGTCGCCCATCGCTGGCGCCTTGGGCGCGAGCTTACGAGCGAGCTCACCCGCTGAGTGCGCCACGCTCAGCGGAGCCGCCACTTCCAACGTGCCGAACAGGGGCGCGTTCTGCTGCTTGCTCGGAATCTCGACGACGGCCAGCCACATGTCCGAGCCGAGGTCGGATGGCCGGGACCACCAAACGGACATGACGCTCTGAAACACCTTCGGCGTGTTGACAAACGTCGCCGACTCGTCCTTCGTTCCCTCGGGAAACGCGTAGATTTGCAGGCCGTTTGACGCGTTGATGGACCACGCCTCTCGGATATCAGAGCACAGCGAGTCGTACGTGTGCTCGTCCTCCGCCGACACAGACAGCACATAGTTGAAGCCGGGAACCCTCTTGAAGTCGGAGACGCGCAGGTCAACCGACGAGGGCTTCTGGCTCATGAACATCCTCATCCGGTAGGCCATGGTTGGCTGGTAGTAGCTACGCGGCGCGGGGCGGGCGCTCCAAAAAGAAGAATTTACCCTACGCCGGGTTTATCGCGGCGTCCAAAAGAAAAATCCGTGACACATAACAGCTGTTATGAGGTTGTTATGCTGGCTGTCATAACAACCAGTGGGATGTGTTATGAGTGTTATGAGGTGTTATGAGGTGTTATGAGGTGTTATGAGGTGTTATGGTAGGGTGGGCATAACAGCCATAACAGCGATGGAGGTGTTATGAGGTGTTATGAGGTGTTATGGGGTGTTATGAGCAGCCAGCCATAACAGTCATAACACCTGTTATGGCCACTCCCATAACCTTGTCTGGGGACAAGACGGCCACCACACAGGGATTTTAAGGAGAGGGGTGTGGTGCGCTAGCCGTCGCCCACCCTTGTGGGAGGACGGCACGCCGCCACCACACAGGGATTTTAAGGAGAGGTGTGTGGTTGCCCAGTGTTGTGCGAGCTTGTAATTACCGTGAATTCTTTCTTTCCTGCTGAAGTTTCCCCGCGACTTGTGAAATTCTTTTCCGCCTGTGTCCTTGGGCAAAGTCGATCGCCTTCTCACGATGGGCTGCTTCTCCAGCCGCGTCGAGGCCCCGACCGAGGAGCTGCCCGGCCCTCCCGCCGTCGAACTCGACGCTCCGACGCCCGCCGACACCGCCCCGCCAACGCAGCCGGCGGCCGCCCTCCCCTCCGCCACCGATCTCGGCGTGAGCGAGAAGAAGCTGGAGCTGTGGCGCAAGCGCGGCGGTGGCGACCTCGAGCCGGTCCTCGCGAGCGGCGCCGTCGCCGTCCTCGACGCGCAGTGGGTCATCAGCCACGCCGAGGCGGGCGGCGTCCTCACCCACCGTCAGGCGCTGCCCAAAGAGGCCTTCCTCTCTTTCGCCGACCTCGTCGAGGCGACCGACGAGTATCACCTTCCCGTCGCCGCGCTCTCCTACCCGTGGCTGACCAAGGACCACCCCGACCCGCGCGGAGCCAACCTCGCCCGCGTCGCAAGGGCGCTGAAGGCCCTGCTCACCTCTCCGTCCATCCCGCGGCTCGGCGTCTTTTGGGACTTCGGCTCGCTGCACCAGCACCCCGACCCCCCCAACGGCGTCCTGCGCACCGAGGAGCAGAACGCGCTCTTCAAGCAGGGGCTGAGCTGCCTCGGCACGCTCTACTCCCACGAGCACACTTGCGTGCTGCGGCTGACCTCCTTCCCGGACGGCCACAAGGCGGAGGATCAGACCGAGGGCACCAACGTGGCCAAGTACTTTGACCGCGGCTGGTGCGCCACCGAGAACGCTTGGGCGGGCCTGACAAAGGCTGGCTACCTCTCGCTCGACCTCGGCAAGATGCGCGCCGGCAAGGAGTACGACTGCGACAGCCTCCGAGACGACTGCACCCAAGGCGGCGGCCGGCGCCCTCCGCTGCTGCCGTCTGCGTTCGCGGCGGAGCTGGAGTCGAAGAGCTTCACCAACGGCAAGGACGACAAGCCGCTGGTGAAGCAGCTGTACGAGGCCGCCTTCGAGGAGCAGTTTGGCAAGGCGACCGCGCTGCACTACGCCAACCTCGGCTGGGGCGACGCGGAGGCGGCGCAGCTGGCGGAGGTCCTCGCGAGCGGGGCAGCGCCGCGGCTCGAGACGCTCTTTCTCCGCGGCAACAAGATTGGCGACGAGGGCTGCAAGGCGCTGGCCGCCGCCCTCAAGGAGGGGGCAGCGCCGCGGCTCGAGTACCTCGATCCCTACGATAACGAGATTAACGACGAGGGCTGGAAGGCGCTGGCCGCCGCCCTCAAGGAGGGGGCCGCCCCGAGCTTGAAGGCGCGAGACGCCCCCCCTCGCCACACGCCCCTCCCCCGCCCAATGCTCATCGCACCTCCCCTCGCGTGCAGTACCTCGAGGTGGGCTACAAGAACAGGGAGCAGCCTGAGCTGGTGCCCGTGTGCGAGGAGCGCGGCATCAGGCTGCTCTG